TGAGGGCCCTGAATCTGCACTCTAGAAAGATGTAAAATTAGGGGGGATATGAATGAGGTGTATAAATGGAAAACAGGAATAAATAAAGGGGATGTAAATAGCATGCTAAAATTATCTAACATAGACAGGACTCGCAGCAATGATTTTAAATTGGAAAAATTCAGATTCAGGAAGGATATAGGAAAGCAATGGTTTGGTAATAAAGTTGTGGATGAGTGGAACAAACTCCTGAGTACCGTCATAGAAGCTAAGACCTTGTGTAGTTTTAAAAATACTGTAGGTTGGATAAATACATGAGTGGGTGTGGGTGGGTGTGAGTTGGACCTGACTAGCTTGTGCTACTAGGTCAGATGCCGTGCTCCTCCCTTAAGTGACATGACTGACCTGACTAGGTCAAGGCATTGGCTTAAGCCGGTAGGAGAATTGGACCTGCCTCACATAGGCCAGTAGGCCTGTTGCAGTGTTCCTTCTTTCTTAATTGTTTTATATGATGGTAGGATTGCTGGTGTCTTTTTTCTGTGTCATAAACATGCAAGATTTCGGGTACATCTCGCTACTTCTTCTTACACTTAGGTCACACTAAACATGCATGTACAAGCATATACAGTGCTAGTCATGGCATTATGCTGGGTGAGTGCCCCGGCATAATGCTGTGATAAAAATCAAAGGCCTACCATACTGGGGGGTCTTTTTTCATCAGTGCATTATGCTGGGTAGCAGCAGTTAACATGTCACAGTCTGCCACCACACTCCACAGTGACTCCTCAGTGCTCATGTGGCTGCCGTGGTAAGAGGAAGTGTTGCACTTTTGTCTCTCATAAGCCCCATCTTTTGTCCGGTGCTTCCTTTGGTTTTGGGGCTATGCATGTTTGATTATGGGTAAAAGGAAGTCTTTAACACCTGAAACCATAGCTCATATCATAGGGCTTCACAAAGGTGGGCACCAGATGAAATAAATAGGGGAGAATGTTGGTGTGTGTGTGTGAGCATTCAGTGAGGAACTGGGTGCAGTGTTGCAAGGCTGGTGTGGTGGTGGTGTCAAGTTACTGTCTGCCAAATCTCGGCTTGGCCCCTCGAAGAAGACATCTGTTCGTACCTTAACTGTGTTAAAGAAGCAGTTAGAGAGTACACCTAAGATAACTGCTAGAGAATTGAAAGAAAAGAATCCACATTTTTTCTCAGAGGTGTCTCTAAGAACTGTTAACAGACGTGTGTCAGAACTGGGCTACAGTAGTCACCGCCAGGTTAAGAAATCGATCCTTCCAAGCCACAGAAGAAACATAGGCTGGATTATGCAAAGAAATATTTTCACTGGAATCCTCAACAGTTGTCTGAAGTATTTTGGAGTGATGAAGCAACCTTCACCATCGCCTGTAACCATGGGGGGGACATGTACCGGCCCAGAGGTAGTGACCCGCTAGACCCACGCTACACCTGTGGGACCACCAGACACCCAGACTCACTCATGGTTTGTGGGTGTTTCAGTGCTCAGTGTGTGGTGAACTCATTTTGCTTCCCAAAAAACAGTATATGAACCAGTATAATTACCTGGAGTTATTGTGTGACAATTTACCCAAGGCATTTGACAAGTGTGGGGCTATGGTTTTTATGCAAGACGGTGCACCGTGTCACCGCCAAATCTGTAGTTCAGTGGCTTAAGGACTGTGAAGTGAGGTTCTTTAATGACTGGCCAGGCAGTTCCCCATTCCTAAACCCTGTTGAGAACCTCTGGTCAATAGTGAAATGAAGTTTACTGGGGAAGGATATCAGCTCCATCCCACAGCTGGAGGCTGCTTTACATGAGGCATGGAATAATGTACCTCCCCAAACCCTCAAGAATTTGTGTGAGAGTCTTCCTACATGGTTGAGGGACATGATTAAGTGTAAAGGATGTAGCATCAAGTATTAAAACCTCAGTAAGTGTGCAAATATATATATTATAATCTTTCATGGTATGTGTTTGTGTTTTGGTACATGTGTGGGGGGCGGCATAATGCTGTGACTAGCACTGTATATACACACCCCTCTGGGTTTTCTTCTATTTTCTTACTAGTTCTTGTTTATTTCCTCTTCTCTCCATGGGGAAGTGGAACAATTGTTCCTCCGTAAGCCATGCGTGTCGTAAGAGGCGTCTAACATGCTGGGAGCAAGGGACTAGTAACCCTTTCTTCTGTATACATTACTAAAGTTAAAAAGAGAAACTTTTGTTTTTCTTTTTGGGCCACCCTGCTTTGGTGGGATACAGCTAGTTTGTTGAAAGATAATGATTAACCATTATTCATTCAACTGCTGTCTTGCCAGTTGTGTACCAGTATCACAATTCAAATGATCCTCTGACTGCATACAGAGTGTGTGTGCCCTGACCTTTCTACCTGAAGTCAAACTGGTTTCCTTGAATCCCTTCATAAAATATCATGTTTACATTTAACAGTACAAGCATTAAAAACCACTTCCCTCCATTTGCTTCAATCTAACACATTCACACAAGCTGGCTGGATGTTCAAACCTGTAGCACTCAAAACCTTTATCCTCTCCTTCCAACTTTTCGAAGGTTGACTCCTATCCTTCCTTTCTTCCACCCCATATTTACATACCCTCTGTCATCCTGTCTTGATCCAGGCCTCTAGATGCCCAAACCACTTCAACAAGCTCTCCTAAGCTCTCTTGAATTATATCTTTGGTGACTTTGCAATTTCTGTGCTCCAAATTATGTGTAGTATTTACATTTTACTGTGCTAACTTTGTGCCTGCGTAATTCCATAAGTTTTCTATCAAATTTCGTAATTTTGGTGTCATTACCTTCAGAAAAAGATTCTCTATTATTTCATAAGAAAAATAATTTAAAAAAAGTGGAAACAGAGTAATGTTAATTTTGGCGGTGTGGACAGTAAAAGGGTTATGACGTTTATATACAATGCCATGTGCATAATACAAAACAAACAAACTTTATTTCTATCAGGGGAATACATTATATTATACAATTAGGGTAATTGACATATCTTTCTTCTTTCAACAAACTGCTCATATCCCACCGAGGTAGGGTGGCCCAAAATGAAAAACGAGAGTTTCTCCTTTTAAATTGGGTAATATATACAGGAAAAGGGGTTACTAGTCCCTTCCTCCTGGCATGTTAGTCACCTCATATGACTTACAGAGGAAGAATTCTGTTCCACTTCCCCATGAAGATGAGTGGAAATAAACAAGAACAAAAACTAGTTAGAATATAGAGGAAACCTAGAGGGGTATGTATATACAGCCTCCCCTCACTTAATGATGGAGTACCATTCCTAAGACCATGTCGGTAAACAAATTCATCGCTAAGTGAGGAGCATACTATAATGGTAGTGGGTTTGTGTCAACTCTCTTTGATATTGTTTTAATGTTACCTTTGCACCATTTATAACTTTTCTGATACATTTTTAAATGTTTATACAGAAGTGCACTGAATATTGTAATAAACAGAATAGAGGAAATCAGCTCTAATATACAGTAGACCGTCATTTAACACGGTAGTTACATTCCTGAAAATGCCGTGCTAGATAAAACCGTGTTAGATGAACTGAAGAATTTGTGGGGAAAATAGGGTTACTTTCCTGAAAGCCCCAAGAAAGCCAAACAACTTTTTTTTGAGGCCTCCACTTCTTAAAAAAATAAAAGTGAATATGTAATTGTAGTTCATTGTTGTGATGTATTATGTTGTTTTTACTGCTTAAGACTACAAATGTAACAGAAATAATAGTATTTCTTACCTTAAATTGTTGGTGCTGGTGTTTGTAGATGATTGTAAAGCGACTGGAGAGTTATGTTGTGGTCCTACTGGGCTGAGGTGGATGGTAGAGGTTCTGGTACTGAAGTCGATGGTTGTACTAGAGTGTCTAACTTTAAATCATTCAGTAAGTCAAGTCAGTAAGTCAGTCAAGTCAAGTCAGTAAGTTATTCAGTCAAATCAGAAGTCAGTCAGTTAAGTCATTCAGTAAGTCAAGTCATTCAGTAAGTTAGTCAAGTCATTCAGTAAGTCAGTCGAGTCATTCAATAAGTCAGTCGAATCATTCAGTAAGTCATTCGAGTCATTCAGTAAGTCAGTCAAGTCGTTCAGTTAGTCGAGTCATTCAGTAAGTCAGTAATTATTCAATCAAGTCAGTAAGTTATTCAGGCAAGTCAGTAAGTTATTCAGGCAAGTTAGTAAGCTATTCATTCAAGTCAGAAGTCAGTCAGTTAAGTCATTCAGTAAGGCAGTTGAGTCATTCAGTAATTCAGTCATTCAATGTCAGTCAATCAGTCACATAAACTTATATTTACCTCTTTTTATGTGTGCAAAGTAACACTTCATTACTTTCATTACTTTGTTAATTCTAAGACTTTAATGCTTATACCTTTTCTTGCTATTTTCAACAACACTGGTATGCCTACTGCGTGTCATGATTGCTTGGCAGATACATGGTATAGTAATTAAAAGATCAAAACACAATTCACAAACACAGCTAGCTTGTAGCAGAGAAGAAAGACTGGACACGCATGAAGTACGAATGCTGGGGTGGTGTCAGGGTGGCAGGGGATGGCGGGAGGTCTCCCCCACTGATCCACAACAAGGCGGCTGCTTGAGGAAAAGAGAACTTTTTTTTTTCCTTTCCGCAAACTGAACTGTGTTAAATTAATTTTACGACGTGTTACATAAAATTGTGCCACAGTTCTTCAATCGTGCTATACCCAAATCATGCCAAATAAACTCGTGCTAAATGACTGTCTACTGTACATTATTTAGGTATGCATATTGGTCAGAGAGCCTGTCATAAGTCTGAGTCATTGATAAATGAGTACGTTGCTAAGCGAGGAGAGGCTGTATATGCTTATACATGCATGTGTAGTGTGATTTAAGTGTAAGTAGAAGTAGCAAGATGTACTTGAAATCTTGCATGTTTATGAGACAGAAAAAAAAAATACCAGCAATCCTACCATCATGTAAAACAATTACAGGTTTCCGTTTCACACTCACTTGGCAGGACAGCAGTGCTTCCCTGAGCGGTTGCTGTCTACCAACCTACTACCTAGGTATTTGACATATATGACTACTTTATAGAAAGCCCTTTGATATGCAAAGCATTTTTGGCAGCCTTAAAAATAAATTATGGTTACAAAGATGTGAGAATAAGAATATATAGTTTTTAAAATATTGGAGGTGTTTAGCAATTCATTAAAAAAGTGTAACTGGAGATATATTAGGGATAAAGCTAGATACATATGATGAATGAATGGTAGTCAATACAGTTTGAAACAAATGTTTAGCATAAGTGTTGTTAGGATCACATTAGGGAAAGGAGGTGTTTTTTAACAGTAGCTTTGAAGTGGCTGCCAGAAAGAGAGAGACTGGAGTTTTCAGGTAGAACATTCAGATTTTGGGTTCTTATATGTACATCAAATATTTGGAAAGATTGAACTGGATGTGGGAATATCGTAGAGATTTTTGTGTCTAGTATTATGCCTATGAATTCTGTTGCAACTGTCAAGGAGTTTCAGGGCAGGATTGATATATGTATTTATTATCCTGTACATGTAGTATGCACAGTAGTATCAGTGAATTTGAAGAGTGGAGGAGTGTGTTGTCTGGCAGTAGACCGAGTGATCACTCACACTACCACTTTTTGTTGTGTTGTTATTGGCTTAAGGTGATTTGCTGTGGTGGATCCCCAGGCATATTGTAGTATCAGGGTGTTTCATAGTTTCAAGCCACTTCTTACAGCTAAGGGAAGAGTTAACAGAAATACATTAAATGAGATGATTAAAAGTGGAAGTCAGTGTTTTGGCATGACAGTCACTTTTTGTGTAACAGGCAGTGGAAATTATAAATGTGTTTGAAGGAAACTAGTCAGATTGTCTTGCTTCTAAATACACAGGTAAAGTTGTTAGGCTCCCTTTCTCCCTCATGGTCTGGTGTTTTAGCTACTGTGGTTTAGGGAAATTACAAAAAAATGTTTCAATGAATAAAGGTTGGGATTTAGAGCTTTTAGAAGACTATTTGCCTGACAGTTTTGAGAGGCACCAGGGCAACTTTTTTTTTTTTTATGTAAAATGATGCCCCTTGCCATACTGCCAAAGACATAAAAGGCTAAATGTGAGATTTCATTCTTTAATGACTGGCCTGGTAACTCGCTGGACTTTAGTCCAATAGCAAACACGTAGACCCTTAACCCTTAAATGGTCCAAGCGTATATATACGCTCACTTGCGCAGCGCCCCGAATATTTTGAAAAAAAAAAAAAAATTATAGAAAAAAAGAGCACATTTTTTTAAGTATTTTAGAATAAAAATTTTTTTTTTAGGGTCAGTACTTATTGAAATATGAGGCCGAGAAGTTGGCACTGGATGCTCATGTGACAGCAACATCGAGTCCTGCCACTTGCAGAAGTGTTGCCGATATACCTTTTTTTCTATTTTTCATATTATTTTATGTAATTTTTATGTTCTGATAATTACAATTTGTAGTAGTTCTTGTCATTTTATAACCAATCTTTGTTCTGACACTAGTATTAGGTACTGAAATTGTACTCAAATTGTCACAAACACACTGACAGGTGGACATTTACACCTGGCTTAGCAATTTACTATTGTCTTGGAATATATACAAAGTACAGGAGGTCCCCACTTATATGGCGGGTTAGGTTCCAGGCTACCGCCGTAAAGCGGAAACCGCCGTAAAGTGGAACACCCTTTTTTTCCACTTACAAATGCATACAAACACTAGATAACAAGTTTGCACTAACATATATTATGTTAGCAATAGAGCCAGGCATCAAAAAACAATAAAAAAGTACAATACACACATAGTGCACTCATTACTTACCTTAAAATATTTATAGTCTTAATCTAGGGTGAGACAAGTAGTATTTATTGTAAGAAATCAAGTGTGGTATGTATGGTAGTCAGCCAGGCTACCATACCAGGCCACCCCACCCACACATACTATTCTATGATATTTAAGCATCCCAGAGCGATAAAATGTATATACAGTTCACTCATTACTTACCTTAAAATATAGGGCGAGATGAGTAGTATTTATTGTAAAAAATCAAGTGTGGTATGTATGGTAGTCAGCCAGGCTACCATACCAGGCCACCCCACCCACACATACTATTCTATGATATTTAAGCATCCCAGAGCGATAAAATGTATATACAGTTCACTCATTACTTACCTTAAAATATAGGGTGAGATGAGTAGTATTTATTGTAAAAAATCAAGTGTGGTATGTATGGTAGTCAGCCAGGCTACCATACCAGAGAGAAAGAATGAGTGCATGAGAGAGGACAGGCGCAGTTATGTAAACAAACCAGGCGAAGGTAAGTTTTGTAAACAGTGTACACGTCTGGTTTGTGTACAAGTTACATTGTGTACAGGTTGTCTCTACATTGATACGGTAGAATAAATAAAGAAGAACACTCCCATTCTCATGTAACATCATTTTGAGAAGAAATGATGCTCTGAGTGAAGGCAATGGAAGTAAGTCACTGACTTTTTTGGGTTATCCTAGGTTCTCTACACATGTTGTTATGTATTTATGTTATGTATCGTGTTTATTATATAATTTTGAAAAAATATCACGGATGGATTAATGAAAATGTGTATATTAACGTAATATACAACATTTAATGATACACCGAGCTCAGACAGCGTAAACAAACAAACTGAACAGGTTGTGGATGATCACTCGGTCAGGCGAAATAGACGGTATTAATACGTGTCCAGTTTTAGTTCATTCATGTACATTTGTAAGAGTTTGTGAAACTTTTACCTTATAATATTTTTATTATTATTATAATAATTAAATCACGAAACAAATACTCTTACACTGTGTACAAGTTAGTACAGAATTATAGCTATAAAGTGAAGGCATACGAAAGGAATATTTTTCTACAGTTATCCCTAGTAACAGGTGACGGGCTAGAGAAAACGTAATTCTTCCAACACTTCTGCAAACCGTTTGGTAAACATCTCATATTTATTTGTATAAATTTTTATACTGTGGGTGCATGTATCATGTTTGTGTGTTACATAATGTGTTTCTTATATAATTTTGAAAAAAATATCTTAGATTAAGGGAAATGTCTATATTAACGTAATATGCGACATTAATGTGCCCAAGAGATTATTATTATTATTATTATTATTATTATTATTATTATTATTATTATTATTGCATCAAGAGTAGAGAGACTCTTAGTGATTTTAATGTGTACCTACATGCCAGCACAGTGTGTAAGTTTATTTAGGTACAGGTGTACACAAGTTTAATTATCAAGTACAATACATATAAAATATACAATAACTTTAAAACACTTGAAATTTTGGAAAGTTTCCAGACATAATAAGGAGATGTGCTCAGGGAGAATGTAAACAAACTCGGTGGGCCGCTGTGACCATATTAGAAAGACAGGTGGGGGGAGCCGTATAGCGAGTTTTGGTCATTATTTGAAATGTCCATATTAGCGGAACGCCGTAAAGCGAAACGCCGTAAAGCGGGGCCCTGCTGTACACCTACCATCCGACTTACGACCGAGTTCGGTTCTGAGAAACCGGTCGTAAGTTGAAATGGTCGTAAGTCGAACTTTACTACTGAATATCAACAAAAACATTTTTGTAATGACTTTATTTTATTGTTTTATTTTGATATTTCATGTTTTACTTTACTTTTTATGTTGTTAGTACTGTATTTTATACTGTAAGGTTTAGGATAAACACTGTGTACAACACAAATAGTTGTTTATTTCCCAGAAATTTGGCATAAAAAACACGGTCGTAAGTCGAGTGGTCGTGAGTCGAGCAGGTTTTTTTAATACCGCGCATACTGAGTGTTAGGACCCATTCTATGCTGACAAGGCATCTCAGGCCAATCATGCCAAATTTGAAGGCAGGAAAAATAAAACGTATATATATTGGACCGTTTAAGGGTTAATAAGCATCAGCTTTGTGGCATGGATGTGTCCTTTACAAACTCTTGAGTGCCATTAAGCAAGTGTGGGAAGGGTATTGACTCTTCTCTCCTTTATAATTTACCCTTATCATTTCTTAGGAGACTTAAGGAATGCATCAAAAGCTACAGTAATCTCATGAAATACTAGTTTAGGTGAGTAACCCATAAAAAATATCAGTACGTATTGTATTTTTAAACTATTTTATCGTAAGCACTCTCATTATCTGTGTGTTTTGTATGTATGCATATTAGTGATGCCTACTGTACATATATGTATTCAGTACAGTGCTGTGATTATTACACAACAGCTGGCAATGGTATCTTTACTTCTTGTATGCATCTATAATACTTCTGACATTAGTATTTCTGACACTGCAGTGTGTCCTCAGTGCTTCGTGGGAGTGTGAAGAGTGTAGACACTTATGGAGAACTGACGCTTACGACAGTGCTGGTGAAGGAAGTGGTGAAGGCAGGAAGGGTTCTGGTGCTGACAGCCACTGATGCCTACCTTTGGACCAATAGATCCTGCATATGCCCACCTCTCTCCATCAATCAGTAAGTCTTGAGAAAGTGTGTAAGACAGTGTGTGTGTGTGTGAGGAGGGGGGGATAGGATTATGTGGAACAGATTGTTAGAGAGAGTAAGAGCATGAAAGTTGTCACCTATATGTGGTTGCAGGGGTCAAGTCATCACTGTGTGTGTGTGTGTGTGTGTGTGTGTACTCACCTATTTGTACTCACCTATTTGTGGTTGCAGGGGTCGATTCATAGCTCCTGGCCCCACCTCTTCACTGATTGCTACTAGGTCCTCTCTCTCCCTGCTCCGTGAGCTTTATCATACCTCGCCTTAAAACTATGTATGGTTCCCGCCTCCACTACTTCACTTTCTAGGCTATTCCACGGCTTGACTACTCTATGACTGAAGAAATACTTCCTAACATCCCTTTGATTCATCTGAGTCTTCAACTTCCAATTGTGACCTCTTGTGTCTGTGTCCCATCTCTGGAACATCCCATCTTTGTCCACCTCGTCTATTCCGCGCAGTATTTTATATGTCGTTATCATGTCTCCCCTGACCCTCCTGGCCTCCAGTGTCATCAGGCCGATTTCCCTCAACCTTTCTTCGTAGGACAATCCCCGTAGCTCTGGGACTAGTCTTGTTGCAAACCTTTGCACTTTCTCTAATTTCTTGACGTGCTTGACTAGGTGTGGATTCCAAACTGAGTGCTGCATACTCCAGTATGGGCCTGACGTAAATGGTATACAGAGTCTTGAACAAATCCTTACTGAGGTATCAGAACGCTATCCGTAGGTTTACCAGTCGCCCGTATGCTGCAGCAGTTATCTGATTGATGTGCGCCTCAAGAGATATGCTCGGTGTTATACTCACCCCTAGATCTTTTTCCTTGAGTGAGGTTTGCAGACTTTGGCCATCTAAACTATATTGTGTCTGCGGTCTTCTTTGCCCTTCCCCAATCTTCATGACTTTGCATTTGGCAGGGTTAAACTCAAGGAGCCAGTTGCTGGACCAGGCTTGTAGCCTGTCCAGGTCTCTTTGTAGTCCTGCCTGATCCTCATCCGATTTGATTCTTCTCATTAACTTCACATCATCCGCAAACAAGGACACTTCTGAGTCTATCCCTTCTGTTATGTCATTCACATATACCAAGAACAGCACAGGTCCTAGGACTGACCCCTGTGGAACCCCGCTTGTCACAGGCGCCCACTCTGACACCTCATCACATACCATGACTCGTTGTTGCTTCCCTGTAAGGTATTCTCTTATCCATTGCAGTGCCTTTCCTGTTATGTGTGCCTGATCCTCTAGCTTTTGCAGTAACCTCTTGTGAGGAACTGTGTCGAAGGCCTTCTTGCAGTCCAAAAAAATGCAGTCGATCCACCCCTCTCTCTCTTGTCTTACTTCTGTCACCTTGTCATAAAACTCTAATAGGTTTGTGACACAGGATTTTCCCTCCCTGAAACCATGCTGGTTGTCAATTATACACTTGTTTCTTTCCAGGTGCTCCACCACTCTCCTCCTGATGATCTTCTCCATGACCTTGCATACTATACACGTTAGTGATACAGGTCTGTAGTTTAGTGCCTCATGTCTGTCTCCCTTTTTAAAAATTGGGACTACATTTGCCATCTTCCATACCTCAGGGAGTTGCCCAGTTTCAAATGATGTGTTGAAGATCTTCGTTAATGGTACACACAATGTGTTTGCTCCCTCTTTAAGGACCCACGGAGAGATGTTGTCTGGTCCCACCGCCTTTGAGGTGTCAAGTTCGCATAGCAGCTTCTTCACTTCCTCCTTGGTTATATGTACCTCATCCAGCACTTGCTGGTGCACCCCCCCTGCTCTGATTTCCTGGAGTCCTACTGGTTTCCACTATAAATACTTCTTTAAATCTTTTGTTGAGCTCCTGACATACCTCTTGGTCGTTTCTTGTGAATTCCCCATCACCCTTCCTCAGTCTGATTACCTGGTCCTTGACTGTTGTTTTCCTCCTGATGTGGCTGTACAGCAGCTTCGGGTCAGTCTTGACTTTCGATGCTATGTCATTTTCGTATTGCCGCTGAGCCTCCCTTCTTATCTGTGCATATTCTTCTCTTGGCCTCCTGCAGTTCTGTGGTGGGTTGTACATTACTGCAATTATCACCTTATGTCCCTCAGACTGGATTGTTCCTACTAAGTAGTCCCTTTTGCCCATGCCATCCGTTCCTTCCATTTTCTCAAACCCCCACTGGTTTTTAATGAGCAGTGCAACTCCTCCTCCCCCTCTCCTCCCTCTGTCTTTCCTGAGGATTTGATATCCAGGTGGAAAGATTGTGTGTGTGTGTGTGTGTGTGTGTGTGTGTGTGTGTGTGTGTGTGTGTGTGTGTGTGTGTGTGTGTGTGTGTGTGTGTGTGTGTGTGCATGTGCGTGCATGTACGTGCATGTACGTGTACTTACCTATTTGTGGTTGCAGGGGTTGAGCTACAGCTCCTGGCCTCACCTCTGCTGGTCTCTACTAGGTCCACTCTCCCTGCTCCATGAGCTTTATCGTATCACTTCTGAAAGCTCTGTATGGATCTTGCCTCCACTACATCACTCTCCAGATTGTTCCACTTCCTGACAACTCTGTGACTAAAGAAATACTTCTTAACATCTCTGTGACTCATCTGAGTTTTCCACTTCCAGTTGTGACCCTTTGTTGCTGTGCCACATCTCTGAAATGTTCTGTCCCTGTCCACCATGTCAGTTTCACTCATTATATATTGTTGTTATGGCCTCTCTATCCTTCCTGTTCTCCAATGTCATCAGGTTGATTTTCCTTAACCTCTCTTCATAGGATATACCTCTTATCTCCAGAGCTAGTCCTGTTGCAAATCTTTCCACTTTCTCTAGCTTCTAGATGTGCTTGACCAGGTGGGTTCCGTACTGGTGCTACATACTCCAATATAGGCCTGACATGCACTGTCTTGAACGACTTTACTAAGGTGTTGAAGCACTGTTCTTAGGTTGCTCGTTATGATATTCACTCCAAGTTTCTTTTCCTTGAGTGGTTTGCAGCCTCTGACCCAATAGCCTGTACACCATGGTCTTCTTTGACCAGTATTGGGCCCCTACTTAAACGAGATGGGACTTACATAGATGGCAGCAAAGAAATGAGTGAGATATTGAAATCCCAATATGACTCAGTGTTTAGTGAACCGTTAATCAGACTAAGGGTCGACAATCTAAATTAATTTTTTATGGCCTTGTCTCAAAATTTGGTTAACTCAAGAATTTTTTATATGATCCTAACACTACTGGCCTTTGAAAAAGCAATAAATAACATGCCCGTGCACTCTGCCTCAGGCCCAGACTTGTGGAACTCCATGTTCGTCAAGAACTGCAAGAAATCCCTTTCATGTGCCTTAAATATTCTATGGAGAGGGAGCATAGACACAGGGGTCATCCCACAGTCACTAAAAACAATGGATATAGCCCCACTCCACAAAGGTGGCAGTAAAGAATTACAGGCCAATAGCACTTATGTCCCCCATTATAAAAATCTTTGAAGGGGTTCTGAGAAGCAAGATTGCCAACCACTTGGATACCCAACAGTTGCACAACCCATGGCAGCATGGGTTTAGAGCAGATCACTCCTGCCTCCCCCACCTACTGGACCAATATAACATGGTCTTGGATGCACTGGAGGATAAACAAAATGCAGATGTATACACAGACTTTTCGAAAGCCTTCATCAAGTGCGATCATGGTGTAATAGCATACAGAATGCGTGGTAAAGGGATAACAGGAAGAGTGGGTAGATAGGTCTGTAACTTCCTAAGAAATAGAACACAAAGAGTAATAATAAACAGAGTAAAGTCAGAGGTGGCTACAGTGAAAAGCTCTGTTCTACAAGGTACAGTATTCGCTCCCATTTTTTCCTCATCCTCATATCTGACATAGACAGAGATGTAAGCCACAGCACCATGTCCTCCTTTGCTGACAATACCAGAATTTGCATGACAGTGTCATTCACATATACCAGAAACAGCTCTAGCCCTAGGACTGACACTGCATGCATACTCACCTATTTGTGGTTGTACTCACCTAGTTGTAGTTGCAGGGGTTGAGTCATGTGTGTGAGTGAGAATGTGTGAGTGTGTGAGTGTGTGTGAGTGTGTGTGAGTGTGTGTGAGTGTGTGTGGGTGTGTGTGAGTGTGTACTCACCTAATTCACCTAATTGTGGTTGCAGGGGTCGAGACTCAGCTCCTGGCCCCGCCTCTTCACTGATCACTACTGGATCCTCTCTCTCTCTGCTTCCTGAGCTTTGTCATACCTCTTCTTAAAACTATGTATGGTTCCTGCCTCCACTACTTCACTTGCTAGGCTATTCCACTTGCTGACAACTCTATGACTGAAGAAATACTTCCTAACGTCCCTGTGACTCGTCTGAGTCTTCAGCTTCCAGTTGTGACCCCTTGTCCCTGTGTCCCCTTTCTGGAACATCCTATCTCTGTCCACCTTGTCTATTCCCCGCAGTATCTTGTATGTCGTTATCATGTCTCCCCTGACCCTTCTGTCCTCCAGTGTCGTCAGTCCGATTTCCCTTAACCTTTCCTCGTACGACATTCCCTTGAGCTCTGGGACTAGCCTTGTTGCAAACCTTTGTACTTTCTCTAACTTCTTGACATGCTTGACCAGGTGTGGGTTCCAGACTGGTGCTGCATAGTCCAGTATGGGCCTAACATACACAGTGTACAGTGTCTTGAACGATTCCTTATTAAGGTATCGGAACGCTATTCTCAGGTTTGCCAGGCGCCCGTATGCTGCAGCGGTTATTTGGTTGATGTGTGCCTCCGGTGATGTGCTCGGTGTTATGGTCACCCAAGGTCTTTCTCCCTGAGTGAGGTCTGTAGTCTTTGTCCACCTAGCCTATACTCTGTCTGCGGTCTTCTTTGCCCCTCCCCAATCTTCATGACTTTGCATTTGGCTGGATTGAATTCGAGAGAGCCAGTTGCTGGACGACATGTCCAGCCTGTCCAGGTCTCTTTGCAGTCCTGCCTCATCCTCGTCCGATT